CTTTCTGTTCATCTGTCCGTCTGATAACCTGCTGCTGTTCTTCATAATTTATTTTCACTGAACCGACAAATCTAAAGCCTTAGGACAGTTTGCATGTTAACACGATATAACTCTATCCAACTAAAGAAGAAAAGCGTGTACTAAGACAAGCATCACTTTTACTGTGATTGTACACTTTTACACAGAACACCCTAGCAACCACCTAGCAACCAAACAACACCCTAGCAACCACACAGAACAACCTAGCAACTGAATAACACCCTAACAATCACACAGAACACCTTGGCAGCCACCTAACAACCAAACAACATCCTAGCAACCAAACAACACCCTAGCAACTGAATAACACCCTAACAATCACACAGAACACCTTGGCAGCCACCTAACAACCAAACAACATCCTAGCAACCAAACAACACCCTAGCAACTGAATAACACCCTAACAATCACACAGAACACCTTGGCAGCCACCTAACAACCAAACAACATCCTAGCAACCAAACAACACCCTAGCAACTGAATAACACCCTAACAATCACACAGAACACCTTGGCAGCCACCTAACAACCAAACAACATCCTAGCAACCAAACAACACCCTAGCAACTGAATAACACCCTAACAATCACACAGAACACCTTGGCAGCCACCTAACAACCAAACAACATCCTAGCAACCAAACAACACCCTAGCAACTGAATAACACCCTAACAATCACACAGAACACCTTGGCAGCCACCTAACAACCAAACAACATCCTAGCAACCACAAAGAACACCCTAGCAACCAAATAACACCCTAACAACCACACAGAACACCCTAGCAACCAAACAACAACCTAGCAACTACATAGAACATCCTAACAACCACACAGAACACCCTAGCAACCTAACAACACCCTAGCAACTGAATAACACACTAACAATCACACAGAACACCCTAGCAACCACCTTGCAACAACACCCTAGCAACTGAATAACACCCTAACAATCACACAGAACCCCCTAGCAACCACCTTGCAACAACACCCTAGCAACTGAATAACACCCTAACAATCACACAGAACCCCCTAGCAACCACCTTGCAACAACACCCTAGCAACTGAATAACACCCTAACAATCACACAGAACCCCCTAGCAACCACCTTGCAACAACACCCTAGCAACTGAATAACACCCTAACAATCACACAGAACCCCCTAGCAACCACCTTGCAACAACACCCTAGCAACTGAATAACACCCTAACAATCACACAGAACACCTTAGCAACCCCCTAGCAACCAAACAACACACTAGCAACCACATAGAACATTCTGGCAACCATATAACACCCTAACAACCACACAGAACACCCTAGCAACCAAACAACACCCAGGCAACTGAATAACACCCTGACAATCACACAGAACACCTTAGCAACCACCTAGCAACCAGACAACACACTAGCAACCACATAGAACATTCTGGCAACCGAATAACACCCTAACAACCACACAGAACACCCTAGCAACCACCTAGCAATCAGACAACACCCTAGCAACCAAACAACACCCTAGCAACCACACAGAACATCCTAACAACCACACAGAACACCCTAGCAACTGAATAACACACTAATAATGACTCAGAACACCCTAGCAATCACCTAGCAACCAAACAACATACTAGCAACCACATAGAACATTCTGGCAACCGAATAACACCCTAACAACCACACAGAATACCCTAGCAACCAAACAACACCCAGGCAACTGAATAACACCATAACAATCACACAGAACACCTTAGCAACCACCTAGCAACCAGACAACACCCTAGCAAACACAGCAACACATAGCAACCACATAGAACATCCTGGCAACCGAATAACACCCTAACAACCACACAGAACACCCTAGCTGTGTGTGTGTGTGTCATAAATGAGAACAGAGATCAATTACAAAACACACACATGCATGTAAATCTGTTGCAGTTAGAGCTGTAGGAATGTTTATGAGCATTATACGCACACACACACACACACACACACACACACACACACACACACACA